TTTTCAATTCCTGGATATATATTCGGAAGGAGGATGATTACGGAATCTGATATCAGGACCCCACGCGCAGACATATTATTTGCAGATCTGAGAAGACGGAAATTTGAGCGGGCAGCGGATTAGAGACCAAAGATTTCCGTATTTCCTCTCCGATTCCTCATTTCGTTTGAAGGTCCGTTTCTGGGTTGTTACTTTTCTTCCCTCGGCGCCTTCCTTCTCGTTTAATTCGTGGCGGATAGGGACGGATTTTCATGATTGGAATACGGACGTCGATTCCTCTTTTGATATTCGTCTTTCAAACGATTACGGAAATATCTAAATGAATTACGGAAATAGCTAGTTGGACTATTCGTCGGATTTCTTGAATAACGAGATTTCCTTTTTCTTCCCTGCTGAAAAGGGAGATAGCATCAAATTTGGATAATAAAATGAATAATTCCGTTCCAAAGATTTATTTCAATTGGCGAAACGAGATAATTCGAAAATATGTAGTTTTGAAATTCTTCAGATAAATATATAAATCATATCAGATTCTCCTATTGGGAATTTCTATCAATATAATCTCCAATTCTGCCGGAATTGGTCATTTAAACGATCGTAGGAAATCCAAGATAAAATCTAGCGAGCTGAAAGATCCCGCGGCCTCCAGAGGATCGTTTGCCATCACGGATATCCGTAAGAAAGTAGATATTCCCATGAGATAGATGACAATGATATAAATTCCTCTCTAGCAGCTTTGAAATCATAAATTTGAAATTGATAAGAATATTCATAATTCTCAATTATCAACTAGATTATCCATTTGCCCCGCAGAGATCCGAACAAGCTCTTGAGTCTAGCTTCCTGAATAGATTAGAAGGCAAGAAGAAATCAATCCCTTTATCTAAAGCCTTAAGATCTTGATATATTTCAAAATATATTTCGAAATATTAGATATTTGATGAAAGAAATATTATTAAAATATATATCAAAGAATATATCCGAATAATCTCGAATTCATATTAAGAATTATCTCTATATTTATAAAATCTTGAATCTATAGAGAAGAATTATAAAAATTTTCCGTGATTATGAAATTGAAGAAATTATATTTATAATCTATTTATTATAATATTTCTAATAACGACCAGAAAAAGATTATATTCATATCTCGCCTATAGTTATTTTATTTCAAATTCCAAATATCTAGAAACTACATATTCTTATTTTAAAAAAAAGAAATATCATTTTCTAATGATATATATTTGAAATATCAAATCTAATCAATAAGATTCTTCTAATAGAGAGAATATATAGAAATCCAGAATCTATATAAATAGAATTTTCATCGTGCTATATAAAATCATATATTCGAATTGAAAATTTCTTTATAAAATCTTCATTTAAAAATAATATCTAATAAAATCATAATTTGAAATCATATTTTTTAATTCCCAATTTATAATAATATCTAATATAGACATTATCTAAGAATCCAATTTGCAATAATATCTAAATATATCTTATTTTATTTTTTTTTCGAATAAGATTGTAATTTAAAATCATTTCTTTAAAATCTATAATTGAAAATTATCTTAAAATTCTTCATATTTCAAAAAAAATATCAAATAAATTCATAATCTAAATTAATATCTAAATTATTCCCAATATATAATAATATTTAAGAAAAATCGAATTTCAAATATTTTTCAAAGTCGACCTTATTTGAATTCCTATCTATGAATATCTATTATAAAATAAGATCTAATCAAATTCTATTGGGAAATAATCTCTAATCAAATCCTAATTTGAAAAAATATTTAATATAATCTCAATATCTAATCAAATCCAATTTTAAAATAATCTCTAATAAGATCCTAGAAATCTTAATATTAAATTCAAATATATATAAGAATATGAATAGTAATCTAGCAATAATAATAATATCTTATAATATTCAAGTACTACTACTATAATAAAAATAAAAGCAGGATAAGAGTAGTATCATATTAATAATAATAATAATTGTAAGCCGAATCGTAATAATAATCGAAATAATACTATAGTAATAAGATGATCGCAAAAGGAGTATTCCGGCGACATTCCGCACGCACCCCAACGCCCTCTCATCGGTTTTTAAGTTCTTCTATTCCTCTTCTGATCTGTTTTTGAATTTCTCGTTCTCATATTCATATTTACATCATGTTTTTTTTCGTAGCCAGGATTTTCGCCATTATTATTCAGGGGGCCCTGAAAATCTAGAGTGATCAATCAAAGGGGGGTGAGTATTTATCAATACGAAGTCAACATTATATCGGGGGGTTGAATATGCTCCTTTTCATGAATTCCTGACCCCCAACTAATGGAAAAACGCATGAATTTTGAATGACCTTACCGGAACCATATAGGTTGCGAACAATTAGGTCTAGAAGCCATTTTTTCAAACCACAAGAACTTGCTCGTGCTCTTTGGCATCTGGCTACATCTTGCTACCATCAGGCCTCCCATAGTTTGCCCTGGGCGACGCTGTCAGTTACAGGATGTTTACAGGGATATCGTCTCTTCATATACTTCTTGGCCTGAGGGGGCACGCTCTTTGCCGACTCACTCCGTGTCCAAGATGCGCGGCTTCTCGCGCTCTGACCTCAATCCGCCGTGCAAGTTGCGACACAAGGTGGCTTTGCACATGTTCGGACCTCGGAAAAGTGCATGTCTTGCCAACATGGCTCCAATGTTGCTCCCCCAACCGTGGCCCCAAAACCGAGGTGAGTGGTGTGAGGGTTCAGGCTGGAGCAAGATGCTCCTGCTAGTACTTGGGCATCTGGAACGGCCCGTGAGCCATCCGCCAAGCATTTTTTTGCTGGAATTTCAATGTACCCGCTGCGCAGCCCCAAAAGCTTCCAAAACAGATAGAGTAACCAGATCACATCATCTTCGCAAACGGGTCTGCGGCTTAAACCGAGGGCCGTTGAGAACAAAAACACAGGGGATAGGCAGCAGATGAATTGCACCGGTGCCGCAAGAACCCTTTGCTTGGCTCATCTAGCTCTAGCCTTGCACCACACTCCAGCAACACTCAATGCACCAGCTCGCCCCAGAACTTCTTCTGTCTGTATGTTCCTCATGTGCACGAGAGAAAGTGCTAGCAGTTCACATCAGCCCTGCGTGCTGAAGCAGCTGCCCTGAGCTTGAACCGGAGCAGGAGTCCTGTCATTTGGAAGATGCAAGTGCCATCTTTATCCGGGTGATGCTTAGCTTGGCCCTAGGTACTCATCGCGTAAGAAGGCAAACATGCCAGGAACACGATCTCTTCCAGCGCGACAACAACATCCTGGTCACCTCGGCAGGGTCCGCGGCATCAGGAGCATGGCGCCGCCATCTTGGACAACTACCGGCTGCTCAGCGGACGCAAGCGCACTCTTGTTAACAGGATATCTGTCTTCAAGCAAGTATCTTGCATCATCAAGTACAATACAAGTAGGTGTCATCACCCCCCGCCAAGGCTGGGATCAACAGATTTCAGTAAACAAGCTAAGCGCTGCACTGCTTCCATCCTGCAGCATTGGGAAGTTGTCTGGTAGACGGAAACAGGCAAATAGCTCAATGCAGCCCTAGTTCTTCCCATGCCTGCCGATGTATCCGAGGTTTCATGACACGAGGTTGCGCCAAAAAATCTTGTTCAATCCCGAATGAATTCTTAATTGCAGTCTGCCCCACTTGTGGCAGACAAAGCTTACTCGCACAATCTCCCATGAAAACAGGCACCCCCTCGTCGACTGACGACACCGAAAAAACCGTAGCTCGCGGCAAAAAACAAATCCAGCCATCAGCATCCGGCAGTGCTCCGCCAGCCTCCGCCTCTCTACGTCCCTAAGAACTGAACAACTGTTTCCAGGGCCCACCAGGGGTGATCCAGTGCACCTTTTGGACAAGAGGCTGACTCCTTGTGAATGGTCTGTAGTGATGGCTCCCCATGTGTTTTAGAAACCGTTTCACTCCATTGAATCATCACCCTTGGCATCAGGATGCATCAAGCCTCGTCCAGGCTTTCTTCCTCATCTTCCTGCATGGGAGGTCATTCTTTTCATGTTATGGGTGAAGACTTGCCTTTGAATTGGAGATGAGGATTATAATAAGGCTTGGCACGAGGCCAGGCAGGCTGTTGACAAGACGTAGATTATGAGGGATCTGTCAAAAGGGGTCCGAAATCTGGGTGACAGCCAAAGTGAAGTATCATGCCGCTACTTTCTTGGGCATTTGAAGCTGAGCCCCTCCTTACATCTCCAAAGCTACTGAAATGTGACCTCTCATGAGACACTGCAGTCACTGGCACCGCAACTGAATCCTCCTCGTAGCTGTCTTCCGAGGAGTCTTCCCGTGTCTTTGGCACACCTGAGCAGTCCGGAATCACTGCAAACATCGCCCACGATGACGGCAACAACAGCGGACACCACTACCAGCACTTCTGCCGTTGTCACCGTCCACGCTGCTAGCAAAGCCACCAGGGCAGCCTCCGCCGCCGGCAGCAGCAGCAGCAGGACATTCACGACCAAGATAACAACGAACAGAACAATAAAGCAGGATGAGATTGCCTCAGTTTTCCTCCTCCTGCCGCCGTTGTGCCCATGCAATGCTCATCGTGGAAGTCCAATAGGTCAACGTCATCATTACAGGTATGAGCTTTGAAACAAGCCGAATGACCCTTCAAAGAGACCCCCACTGAAACTCCCAGGTGACTGAGCCGGAGGCTGCCTTTCGGGACTTCCAGAGCCTCTGTGAACTGGGCATTTCTCTAAACTTAGAGGACCCCTCTGTTATCACGCAAAAAAAATCCTTACGGTGGCGATCTCTATAAAAGCTCAGTCGGATACGATCCAGGCCTATTCTGCAAGTGCTTGTGGACAGAACTGGCGGTGCGATTGCAATTTGGGACATAGCGTTCTGAGGGGTTCTTTTGGGGCTGCAATTATCGCAACTCTTTCAGTGAGGTCAAAAATGTTCGCTAACTGCAAGCAAAGGTCTGGATGCTCTGCTTCAGCACCAGGGCTCAATGTCTGGATTTCTGCACTGCTTGCTCTGCTGCTGCCGTGACTGCAGCTGCGAACCCTCAAGGCTTGCTCTCCGCTTTGAAAATTTGTACCTTTCGGCATGACTGGGATGCTTCCAGACTCTGGACCAGCTGCTGATTCAACATGTCCCTCTGCTGCAGGACCGGCAACAAACAGCTGACCTGCCGCCGGCAATAGTTTTGCGCTCTCCTCACGGAGTGAACTGCTCGCCGCACTGCTTCTGTGGCTAACCACTGCGCTTCCATCCCTATCTTCGTGGGCTGCCGCTCCCTTTGTCTGCTGTGTGCTCGATGCACTTCCAACAGCACCGAGCTCACCGTCACGGACAGAAAAAGAAGGAAGCTGCTGTGGTCGGCTGTTGGATGCTTGCTGAGAAGTCTGGAAGCCTTGCGACATGCCACCTGCCGCACAGTCAGGCTCCATACCAATCTCTTCAATCCCTTCACCCGAGCTGCTTCCCAGACTGCTTAGGTTGCTCACCACCGCAATCTCTTCTCTCTCTTCTACCGTGGTTTGCATTTGCCTGGCTGGCAATCTCGCTTCTGCCGAGTCAGATGCATCGCTTTGCCTTCTGTGCAAAGCACTGTCAGAAGCAGAGGCAGAAGAACGCTCCTGTGCCTCTGACAACGAGGCCTGCCGAGACCTTTGGAGAACTTGGAGCACATCCATCTCGTCACTAAGAGAACTGCTCGCCGCACTGCTTCTGTGGCTAACCACTGCGCTTCCATCCCTATCTTCGTGGGCTGCCGCTGCGCGTGCTTGTGCTTGATGAATATCACCGAGCTCATCATCATGCACAGTGAAAGAAGGATTTTGCTTCATTTGGCTCTTGGATGCTGCCGCGTCATGTTCAGCATTTGGTACTGACTTTCTCGACAGTCCACCCTGCACCCCTGCAAAGGGCTGCATCAAATCGCCGGGTTGCCTGAGACTTCTGGGCTCTCGTCCGGAAGTATCCTGCCCACGTCCAAGTATGGATGCCGCTGGCAGTGAAAGCACAGTCTCAGGACGTATTCTCTACATGAGGATTGCCTCATCAATGCACGTCAAACTCTGATCCCAGTACGGTCAGCATGTTGAAGAAAGGTTTCTCCCTTCCGCTTCAGAACAAGAACAGTTTACTCTGAGAATTTTCCTCACCCTGGCAAGGCTGCCGTCCTGCCAAAAGAACGGCCCCTGATGCAGCCCCATGCATTATCAGCGCTCCTCGCTGGCACTGGCTGCGCAGCTGCGGGTCACCGGCGCCAGCTCTTCGGAAAGCAAGCCAAGGTCCTGAAGGAGGAAGCGATACAAGCTGGTTTTGCTGTACAATGCTGTGCACAGTTTGCTTTGGCCTCTCTGTCACAATCTTCTTAGGTTTTTGCTCTTTAACATGCCTGGTGAGGTTCAAGCACAGAAGCATCCTGAGAAAACTCTGAACTCTAGCTTCAGAGCCTGCGGCAGGGTGCTAGCTTTCTAGGGTTCAAGTGTAGAACTCTTGAGTTGCATGAGCTGGCCTACAAGTAGCTTCACCCTAACGGCCCTAACGTGCACCGTTGCAAAGGGGACCTCCAGCGGAATCTCCAACGGCAAGCTCGCGAGGCCTGGGGCACATGATGCCACGTCCAAGACTTCGCTTAGCTCGAAGGAAGCTGTTTGTGATGTACTACATCGGATGCAGGCAGGCGCCCTGAGAGGGTTTCCAGCTGCTGAACACAGCAGTGGGCAACTATGTTGCGCCCAGCACAGTCACGAGCAGACTGCAGCAGTAAGCCCTTGTTCTGAAAGGGCCCAGGATTGCTTGCATTAGCTGAGCTTAGCTGCCTGAAGGCCCAGGCTGTGTGATTCTTGGAACCCTGGTATAGATCATACTCTGAGATGCTTCCTAGTGACTGAATAGACTAGCGCGAGCTTAGATTTCGCAAGCCCTCTGTAATTGCAGGATGCTATTCTTACTGCAAGTAATCTTGGTACTATTACTACTGATATTGTTATTACTACTATTAAGCCCTGACGCCTGCCATACCAGGCGCCGCAAGGATTTGAGCGCAGGACGCGCGGCAGCCCGTTCTGTCACTGCCCTCTTCTCCGCAAGTACCGTTAACAATGCAACATGATACAACACCGTCATCCTATGGCAAGATACAGGTTCCACTTAAGTCTGTTCTGTTACCTGAGCCCAAAACCCTAAACCCTAAGATACAGGTCCCACTTGGGGGCTCATCTTACTATACAATCACGACCGGCAATCATTCTAGCTTCTCATTGCGGAAAAGCAAGCTCAACCTCTGGCCTTGTGATTCGACTTCACTGTCGCCGTCTCCAGAGCCCCTCAGTGATCCGTGCACTATGGGACTGAAAGCAGCGCGCATCCTCTGCGAATGTACATTGCATCTCACCATCTTGAAGCAGCAACAGCGGCATACGGGCAACGTCCGCGAGAATCGGATTTGTCACCAAAAATCGGCTGCCCCTAGTCATCAACCTCCAGTCAACGCAGCCCACGAACTTTCAGGTAACCTTGACAGCAGAATCAAGACGAGGTCATTTTGAACTTGTTCGACCTCATTTTTGAGGTGGTTCTCCCAGCGACCTTGTTTTTCAGCCGAACCAGCTCTTGAATCACCTCGTTTTGCGCAGGAGGAAAAAACCTGATAAAACAAGAGCCCGGCCATGAAAACGGCATGAAAAACAAGAAGCTTGCCTGACATTTTGCGGAGACCCGAATTCCCGAAGACGAAACAAGAGACGCGCAAGACGTAAGGCCCCCAACATGTGAGACAACCGTGAGCAATCTCGTGAGTTTTGAAGCTGCTTTCCTGACTTCTTGGGTATAATCGCGGATGTACACAGCACACAGTTTAGGGTCCTACGCTACTGTTTTGTATACATTGCGAAATGGGGCTCCATCCTATTTTCTGGGGTGGTCGGATCCTTAGGGCTTTGTCAGCTGCGGATCACTGCTGCCATGGCACGAGGAGGATGCTGGCACGGAGACATTCGCCTTTGCAGGCTTCGCGCCTGAGTTGGCATTTCAGGCACGCTGGTCTCTTCATAGATTCTGTCTCGAGGCCTGGAAGTAGAGAGCTTGGCGGGACAGATTTCTGTAGGTTCAGTGCAAACAAGCAATGCAATAACATGCACGCAAAGTTACTGCCAGCACACTTCCGGAAGTGCCCAGCAGAGTGGCTGAGTAGCTGGCGCCCCTCGCATATCCAGGCACTGGGGAAATCCTCGCACCGGCCAGAGATGGGTGATGCCACAACGCTCCTTGCCTCCACTCTCGTCAGCACATACATGAGCATCTGCCCTCAACGCAGGAGTGTCCCAAGCAAAACGTGTGGCTTCACGAAACAGATCCCCGGAAGGGACTCAGCGAAATCTCCTTGTTGCATCCAACAATTTTTGGGAAGTTCCCTTTTCAGGCCGTGGGTGAAATCGTGACAGCTATGAGTTTGGGAACCCATCTGCTGGTGTCTCCTCCTCCTCTACCTGCTGTGGAAGAGCTGGTGGAGCCTCGTGGGGCCTCTTCAGGAATGGAACAAGTACAAGCAGCTTCAGATTTCTGAGACCCATGCAAGACACATCTTCTGAAAAAGGAGTAGGGCAAAACAAGTTACAGGAAGATTACTGTGTTGGGCACAGGAGCTGCTGTGCTTGGAGGTTCCACCGAGCTAGCATCATCATCTTTACTACTGCTGATACTCAGCTGGTAAATGCCGTGGTTTCCATGCTGTTGTGGGCTTGGACTAGGGTTCCAACTTGTTCCAACGCCTAGCTTTGATCAACAAATTCTGCACATATAAACAACACCCACAAAATTTGTTGTCAGCCACGCAAGGCCTGCACTCTGCTTCTGGAGGCTTCTGCCTGAGACAGGCTCAGTTGAACATCCCTTGCTTTCTCCCCTTGCTTTGATGCCTCATTGGCAGGCTGCATCAGATCGTAGTATCGCTGTAACCCATGTTCAACATCAGTATCCTTGTCTTGTATTCACGGCATACTGTGGGCACAGATGCGCGAGGGTCGACTTTGAGGATAGGCGAGGAATTAGCCTAGGATCAATCTGAGCTAAGGTCTGTGCCAGGGAACTGACCCCGCTCGCGGCTGCACCCTCCCTAGTTTTTAGGATAAGCGCAGCTCCCTGACAGATCAAATGTACATGCCTCGCGATCCTCAAGCAAGCCAGAAAATGACGCAAAGGTTCATGGAAAGATGACAGCATGAGGTACTCAAACGATGGCTATTGCTACTGGCAATGTAAGGATTGCCTGATGCTTAATCCTCGTCATTCAAGGTGCTTGGCAAATATCATATAAGCAAGAAGGTGATACATGCTCTTCTGCCTCAGCGAAGGTGCCGTGGCCACGGGAGGCATAAACGCCTGCAGAGCCAGAATACACAGCCCTGGCTGCCGATCTGGATCTCAGAGCCCTACAGGCTAGCTGGCTTGGCAGCTGCGACAGGAGGAGTGGCCACAACAACCATTACAAGAATCTGAGGATCGGATGTGAACAAAGCGCATTGCAGGACCGATGCTGGAAGAACTGAGGCTCCAGCATCAGGGCCCTCTCTCGTAGATACCGCCGACATGTTGATGTGACCTGGGTAGTTTGCTGGAGCCCGCGGAGAGAGCTATCTGGGACTTCTGGACACTCTGAATGGGACCCTTCTGAAAAGATGAAGGGAGCCCTCCATAACCCCAAGCCTATGAACTCAGCAGAAAAGGCCTCCTTCGGGGCACTTGACTGGGACATCAAACATACCTTCCTATCACCTCATGGGAAGGCTCAGCCAAAGTTACAGTTCCTGTCAGCGTGCCATTTCCAGCACAGTACTCCCAAACAGCGTTCCACAAAGACATGTTCAACAAATCAGTGAGGGGCCCTGTTCTGGGCAGCGGCCACCAGTATAAGTAAGGTCTCTATGTTGCCAAAGAAATATAATAACCTCAATATATAACCCCTATATTACCCCAATATAATATAGTAGTTTCCATTTTCTTTTCCATTATCCCAATATATCCCCTAATATAACCCCAATATATACCCCTATAATCCCTATAGTAGCTTCCATTTTCTTTCCATTATCCCAATATTTACCCCAATATAACCCCAAT